TCCAGTGGACGTCCTCTGAAGGTATAGACAGCGGGTGTGAGCCCTCCCCAGACGTAGCGGTTCCCTTCGTGGCCTTGCGATCGAAAGAGACAACGCGAGCAGTGAGTTTATCCACCTGAGCCTGCGAGGGCAAGAATGCCTCACACGCTGAGCACGACGGGCCACCGACTTTGGCCAAGAACACTGCACGACGCGCCACATATGCAATCCTTATAATATGGATGATGAGGATGACGAGGAGGAGGAGGAGGAGGGCGAGCTGGAAGGCCAGAAGCTTCTTGTATGCTTTTCGGAGTCCCTTTCGGATTTCTTCCGAGAGCTTCTTGGAGTCCTCTTTGTGCGTTTTGGGGGTCTCTTGGCAGTCCCAAGGGCCTCTTGGGCGTCTTGGGTGCCTCTGGGGAGGGATGGGGGAGGGTACCCCTCCCTGGTTTTGGAAGCGGAGCGACGTAATTCGTCCGACCACCTGAGCCAGCTGGGCTGGTGGGATTAGATGGTGGGGAATTACGAAGAAGAAGGGGATTGTACAGGAGAGAGAGGGACAGGCGAGGAGGGAGAGAGCGGATGATACTGATGCTGATGATGTTGTTGTTCCCCATATCCCAAGATGGGGTTCTTGTTATTACTTGGACGCCTCCTACTCCTCCTCCTTCTTCCTCCTCCTCTTTTCTCGCCCCCTCCTGTCGGACATACTCAGACTTGCTCATACACAGACTTACTCATACTCAGACTTACTCATACTCAGACCTACTCATACTCAGACTTACTCACACTCAGACATACTCATATACAGACTTACTCATACACAGACTCACTCATACACAGTATTAGTCATACCCAGACGTACACATACACAGACTTACTCATACACAGACTTACTCATACTCAGCACCCCTAAGGGGAGCCGCCAGGGGTGGTTGCACGGGCTCGTTCGCGGCCATTTTGTGGGGATGTCTCAGGCGGTTTGCCTGTTTCTGTGCCCAACATCCTTCGCTTTCGGAGCAGATTTGGAGGATGTCTCGAGCGAGGCGCTCATTTCAGCACCCCTAAGGGGAGCCGCCAGGGGTGGTTGCACGGGCTCGTTCGCGGCCATTTTGTGGGGATGTCTCAGGCGGTTTGCCTGTTTCTGTGCCCAACATCCTTCGCTTTCGGAGCAGATTTGGAGGATGTCTCGAGCGAGGCGCTCATTTCAGCACCCCTAAGGGGAGCCGCCAGGGGTGGTTGCACGGGCTCGTTCGCGGCCATTTTGTGGGGATGTCTCAGGCGGTTTGCCTGTTTCTGTGCCCAACATCCTTCGCTTTCGGAGCAGATTTGGAGGATGTCTCGAGCGAGGCGCTCATTTCAGCACCCCTAAGGGGAGCCGCCAGGGGTGGTTGCACGGGCTCGTTCGCGGCCATTTTGTGGGGATGTCTCAGGCGGTTTGCCTGTTTCTGTGCCCAACATCCTTCGCTTTCGGAGCAGATTTGGAGGATGTCTCGAGCGAGGCGCTCATTTTCACCCCCCAGGTGGGCCAGATTTTGAGGATGTCTCGATCGGTTTGTTAGTTTTGGTGGCCAGGCTCGTGGGCGCAGATTCTTCTCAGGATGCCACAGG